GCCCCCCTCCTCACCACATCCCACCCCCATAGTGTTTTGCTAGATTATATATAATTACTTTTGAGATAATATTATTTTGCTTACCTACCTAACATTAGAAAATAAGTAAGAAATTCACTTGTTTTCCAAGAAAACATTTTTCTCCATAGCAAACACACCCCAAGTCTGGAGTGATTGAACACAAATCAACATCTCAATAGTTTGTTTTCCAAATCTGAGTAGTGTGCTTGCCTGGATTTGTGGAATGATGTTAGTTACATCCTAATGCAGGGTAGGAAGAACCGCTCGTATCGGTGAAAAGGGAGATTCTTTATTGTTCCTACAGCCAGTTGAAACTGATTACTTGCCTGGCTTAGAGAAACACGGGGTGATGCTAACAGAGTATCCCCTTCAGAAACTTTTGGATAGCTTTCCATTGTTTGGTATGAGGTACCACCCGAAGAATTTTGTTTCAGTAGACACACATCCCTGGGTTGTTTCTCTGCAGAAAGCATTGGAATCCTTTACTTCATCAGAGGTATTAGAACTGATCTTATTTATGTTCACATGCCAAGTTTCCTTTTATGCTTCATGCTTTGTTGTAAATTTTAACAGCATGTACAACATAGCTTACAATTCATTTCATTTTGACATACCTATCTGCAGTTGGAAGTCAAGTTTCTTGTTTTCCATTAGTTATAAAAACCAAGGCCTCTTAATTTCTATTATTTTCATCTTTCAGAATGCTCCTTTGTCTATGCTATGCTATTGCTAATTGACATTACTACAAGTTAACCTAAGGAGGTCCTAAGGTTGAATTTGGCATAAATGATCTCTAGTAACTTAATTCTCTGTAGGGTGAAGCAAGGGTTAGGCATACATAATATGTTATATTCTCCTATGCAGGTCTCTGCTTCTCTTTTCGTTGTTTGTGCAAATGATCTGATTTCTATAAATAGTTACACTGAAATAGGCTTCCTTTGGTTGAAGATTTAGAGCTGTATTTGAATTTTTATATGCTTCAATTATCTTCACTTAGCTTAGTATGATTCTAGTTTTAAAATAAATTTGTGAGAATTTCTGATGGGTTTGCAGCACTTTTGGATTTGTCAACATGCCCACCAGTCCACCACTAATGTAATACTACTAGTAATGCCTTTTTATGCTTATAAAGCTGATATTGGTCAATTGTATTAAAAAGTTGTTTTAGTCAAGTAGATACACCTCAGCAATAATACTTAAATAGGACGGAATGAATTTCATATTCTTCAAATGATGGATTGACTCGTTGATATTGTCAGTTAAAGATGAAGAAAATGGCGCAGAATGCATTTTGCTCATGGGTTCGTGCTTACACTGCCCATCGTGGTGAACTTAAAGGAATTTTTATGGTGAAGAAACTTCACTTGGGGCATGTGGCAAGAAGTTTTGCATTGAAGGAGCAGCCATCTTTGGTTAATAAATCCCTCCAAAAACAAACAAAGAAAAGGATGAGAGACCAGAAACAGAAAAACGTATCAAAAAAGAGGAAAGTCGGAAAAAGATGATGTGAAACATTTGTTGTCAGATGAGCTTGTCAAATTGGATACGACGATATGTACACAAGACATTTCTGTCTAGCATGTCCAATTGTCCTGCGTCTCTACCAATGGTGCAAGTAGTCTGATGAGCTCTTATATAATCAGTCAGTTTTTGCGAAGGAATTAAAGGCAGTACTATTTGCTGACCTTGAGATTGTGCTAGCAGCTTGCAAACATATGCCCCATCTGGTGAGAATGTATCAGTTCTAACTATAAGCAGGGGGCATATTATTAGCATTTTAATTATGCCACCAAAAGTTTTGTATACTCTAGGAAGCCTTGTACCCAAAATATTCAATATCTTCTAAAGTACATTTTAAGCAGCTATATGTTATCTGTATTTACTAGGTGTATGCATGGTTTGTGTCCCTTTGTTGCCTAAAACCAAAATGAGACCAAGAAATGACGCCAATTTAGCTTACCAAGGACATGAAGTAGAGTAGGAGGGTTTGGAGGTCATGAATTAGAGAAGGTTAGTAGTAGTTGAATTTTGACTCACTTCTCGGTGGGTTTAGGCTTGGTGGGAGTTGTGTCTGTAGTAGTATTAGTCGTATACATGTATTGTATTTTCAGTTACCGTATTATTTTATTGTGTTCTTTTCTCTGGATTTTTCGTATTGCTCTCCTTATTAATTGACATGTTTTCCCTATTGTTGTATTCCCTTTTCTCGTAAATATTTTGATTTGTTGCACTTGAGTTGGCCGTCTTTCGAAAACATCTCTATATCCCTCAAGGTAGGGATAGTGTACACTCTACTCTTCCTAGATTCACTTGTGGGATTACATTGAGTATATTGTTGTATATATTTTAGAGAAAAATATTCAGACAGAAACTTATCAAAATTAATTTTGTTAAAAAGCTAATAATATGTGTAGAAATTGGAAATCATTAGCTGTTTATAAATATGTAGTTAATATCCTATTTCTTCAACCATGAAAATAGTCTTAATTGAAAAGTAGGACCATATTTTATTTCAAAGAAAAGCACTTGTCAACAAAACATGTAGATACTCTAGATTTGCTTATTATTTTTTTGTGGGGTTTATTATTTAGTTGAATACTTGTTTAGTATGATATAGTTTTTGAGACTTTTATTTTCTGGGGTCAAAAAAATAAGTAGATATTTATTTATATACAAAAAAAGTCCATTTGATTAGTTCTACATCAAGAAACCCTACTTATCCCTTGTCCTTTAATAGTTGAAATTTATGAGTTGGTTGTTTCGAGTTATGACAATTAAGTGGGCCTTAATCCTTTTGAGTCAGTCAACTAACCCAAGGCCCATTAGGCCCTATCAAGTGCAATGAGGTGTGCACACACCCACGTCACGTAAATGTTGAGCGATCTCACTCATGGGCCCAGTAAAGTGATGGTGGGCCTTTGACCATTAATTAGCAGGCCGTGCACTCGGCCCACTTCATGTTTGTTTGGCTACTTTTCTATTATATCTCATTTTATAACTCCAACTCCAACTTCAACTCGTAGTCGAGTCAGTCACTGCTGGGTTTCTTTCATTTGACCAAATATGCAAACAATAGACAATGACATCTACCTAATCAAACTTTTTTTTTCTGTGTGTTCATTCCTTTAACAGAAATCCCATCTACCCCCTAAGTCGATTTTTTTTTACCTATAGTGTTGTTACATATGTGTTTCACAATTTTAATTTGAACACATGTAAATCACCTGTCATTTTCTTCGTGTTGGTTATATATTTGGTTAATATGGTTGAAGCTAACTAGAGGGGTATGCCGCAATTTGAACTCCCCTCTACAGACTCCACTTATAGGACTTTTACCGAATACGTTGTATTAGCCATTCAAGTCTGCTGCATAAAATTAACATACGTTGAGTTTGATTCTGTTTCAGTTCTTGTCCCCCAATAAAAAAGATTAATAAGTAGTAATAATGTAGAGCTTGCTTTGGGTACAATGAATTGGATTTTCCCATCCCCCACCCCCCACGTGGAGGGAAGTATATACTAATATGAAGAAATTATGAGGAAACGTAAGTTTTTCGCCCGATGTCTGAGTATCCACATTAGAGTCTGACGGAAAGTTTCACGTCAAGTCCCTACGATTTCTTATTCAGAGAAATTCGAACCTGAAAGCTTTGATTAAAGATGAAGGAGTACTAGTTGTTCCACGACAACATTTATTGGTACTACAATTTCCTAATTAGGTGGTGTCGGTGTTAAATGAGAATTTAACATATATAATTAAGCAAGCAAAACAAGACAGCCGATTCCTTCCCTTCTCCTGGCCGGCCATTATCTTGTTTATTGCCGTTAATTCCGTCTTGTGTTTCACCAATACTTTCACATATTCTGTCCCTTTGAATATTAAAGAATATTGCTCCACTACTATTTTACACATTAATTTATACAATTGCATGTATGCTTTCTTCTTAAATATATGAAACTAGAATTTAACTTATATTATGTCCAATAATGGTATATAAGTACTATATATACTTTTAACTTTTTATTACTAGATAAAAGTAACTTACGACAATATCCAACAAGTAACTCTTTCATATCAAGTCTGATATAATCCTTTGAAAAATAGAATAGGGAGTTGCTACAATTAATTAAATTGTATTGATAGAGTAGAATATATCTTACTATCTTAGCATATTCGATACGTGTAACTAATTAAACGTATTGATATACTCTACCTATCAAGTACCATTGGCAAACTCATTCATTATTTATGTCACTGAAATTGGAGAAGAAATATAGGAGAATGAGATACAAAGATAACAAATGTTAGGTATTATTCTGATTTTCTTATCATATGTAAATATTACTACTTTTTTCTTGAAATAAAGTTAAAGCATTAGTATAATCGTTTTGACTATGTCAAAAAGGAAAAATATAATCTATATGTTGAATATCCTTTTTCGCATACCACAACACAATAACATCCACAATATTGTAGTAGTCATTAACTAAGAGTCATGTTTAGGGAAAGATTATTCTTTTAATAAGTTTCAATTTTTTTTAAATATATAGGTTACTTGACCAAATACTATTAATATATTATACCTTTTCATATAGTTTTTTTAATCATTCGATTTATCAATGATATATATAATTTATAATTGTACACTTCTGTCTAAGGTCCTGATTATTTCGATCCCATTCACAAATAGCCAAGGCTAAAAAGATTTGACTAAAAACTACTTTAGGAGTTGGAAAGAGAGTGTGATGGTAAGCTAGGGCACCTTATAATGGTGCAATAAAAGTGGGATCCCACAGACCTATGCAAACATAATAGAGTAATGTTTCTTTTCTTCCTTGGTGGATGACACACCACTACTTTCCTTTCACTTCCCAGCTAAGAGATATGCTTCAATCACCTGGATCCTTCATCCATCCATCTTCACCCTCACCCCCACCCTGACCCACCCTAACCAAAAATAAGAAAAAGATAGGAGAACAATCCCATTTCCTTTGTCCTTTCACTTGGCCCCATTGGTATGACCAACTCCTTACCCTACCAATGGTGAATGTTTTTACTTAAGTCGGCAATCGAAGGTTTATTAGAAATATTCGCTCTACTTTCTAAAGTCTGCATACACAACATCCTTCTCTTATACTAGATATGTTGTTATTGGATCCTACATATATTGTTTTTACGTATGAAATATATTTTTAAAAATGTAAATAGAGAATTTGAACTGAAGTTATTAAGTTTTGCCACATTCATAACTAAAGAATAGGCGTTGATCCTGATAGTGGATCCTATTAATATGAATTCAAGTTCAATAGAGTTTAATTCAAAATTCACAAATTTAAATTTTGAATTTGTGACGGACACCCCCACTTCCTATTATAAACCATGGAGTGCTATATTTGTATGAGGACTATATTTGTATATTAGATTTTATAAGATGTATATATAGAGTATTAAAATGGTGGAGTTGGATTATTAATCCTTGTTGGTCAATCACACTTGATAACCGTACTGGATAAATAAGGGAGAATAATTATAAATATCCAAAGTCATGTAATAAATTTAAACATATAGTTGAAAATCCCAAGAATTAAATGGATGAATACGAGATGTGTCACTATATATTCTATCAATTTATTGTAATTAAGCTTTCAATGGATCGAGTAGCTAGCTTTTATATGCCGGAGAAATAACTTATGAATTTTTTTTTTAAAAAATCGTGTTGAGTAATTAGCATCTATACTAGCATGTTATATGAAATTTCCTTATTAAAAAAATTCACCTAGCAAGCATTTATGGAGATGTATGTCTAGAGTTTGTCTATGAACAAGTGAACATAATTAATTCAAAAAATTCCAACTCTGTCAAATTGTTTTAGGTAGTTAACAAGGGAATAATCTCATCATTAACCTTTTAATTAGTGTACATTATAAAGGTACTTCATTTGAAAAGATGTCCAAATTAATGATTACATATGTATATATATTTGCTTTTCTATTTAATATATTACTATTAATAATATAATATGAATGGGAAGCTAGCATGTGCATACCTAACGTGTGTAATCATTCGAATGGCTTGTCAAAGTTCCTCCATTCTAATGTTTTATTAATCCACAAAATCACTCACCTCATCAACTAATTATTATTGCCCATTTGCCCTTAATGACTTTACGATCAGAAACACATTTAAAATTTAAATTTTTTGAATTCAATATTCAAGTTTTTTACCATTAAATTTCAGTATATATTTAAAGTTATGATTTTATCTAGTATTTGTTATTTATGTTTCGTATCAAAAGTATTGAGTTCAGATGAATTCAAAAGACTATGTCTATTGTTATCAACCAAAAACAATTTTGAAGCGAAATATTATTTTTATTTTTTAAAAATGGTATGAGAATCTTGCAATTGTCATCCTTGATTCTCTGGTTAGCGCATGCATTAATTTTAATTATCGTGTCAATTATATAAAACATTTAATTTAAACTAAAGAAATAAATTCTATTTTCTTTTCTTGTTTTTCAATGTATGTATGAAAAGAGTAACATGGGATCATGGGAGACACTCCAGATTCAATTCATTGGGGGTACAACATTTATGAAGGAAAAAACTGTCTAATTTTACAGGATGAAAAAGCAATATTTATAGTCTATTTATTTAGCATATATTCATAATTAAGGATAAGTCTAGGTTTAGAATTATCCAGTCGTCATTGTTGATTTTTTTTCGTACAATTAAACACGTAAGTTCTATTTCAGTTTATTGGGGATCGGAGTAATATTATTATATTTACATGTTAGAGGCATAGTAGTAAATAAAATAGAATTCTATATTACATTTCAACTCAGGGGGTGGGGTGGGGTGGGGAGACATATAAGAAGGAGAGGAAGAAAGTGTTTGAAGGAAGAAAAGAACAACAACAACAACAAAAAGTTAAAAACTCAAAATTAAGAGATAAGAGTCAAATTTATTCTCCAACTATATATGTCAAATATATTTACCATTAAACCATGCAAAAATTCAAATTTATTCTCCATTTAATTTTAAAATAAGAGAAAAATTATTCCTTTTTATTTAGTTTAGAGGAAAATTTGATATACTAACTAATAACGACCATAACATTTTAACTCCAATTATTAATGGAGAATA